TATAAGTCTATGATTCTTTGCCAACACTTGCACTGAAGTTTGTGCTAGCAACATTAAAACACTACCTTTATGGTTTTTCAAATGTGTAATTGCAAAGTCAGGAAACTCCAACTGCTGAGCTCTCTGGCGCCTCATTGAGATTTTTTTTTTTTTGTTCTTCTGGGTCGTTAGGCGTATTGTTGTTAGGCAGTTTTAGTGTGTGTGTATGTAGTTTCCTTTGTCTGCTTTTGCCATCAGAGCAATACTGCAAAACCATTAAAATCTCAACAATTAAATAAAACTGCTCCTTTCAAACAAACTTGTCACTACAAATCATTTTGTGTAGCTTTTGATTTTATTAGGAATTTTCATCCAGGTGTATATGTTGGTGATCCTAGTTTGAGGTTATCCCAGGCTAAATACTAAGCCAATCTGGTACATGTCATAACTAAATTTTAAATGTGTATTATATGTGTGGACATATCCACAGACAGAAGCTGATAAATACATGTTGGTGTAGTTCTACGCAAAAACAAAAACATCTTTGTGTTAAGTAGTTATTACCATGTAAGTAGGGACTTTAAGGACTTGTAATGCTACTTTATTAAACTGAATATTGTGGTAAATATCACAATGTGATTATAGCTATGGTTCATATTTAATATTATTCTAAACTTTTGTCCTTTATAAGATATTAACATATATTGACAAATAGCCCCAGACACTGTTGTGCCTTTGGAATGCTTTCTCACAAAGTTATATAATTCTTAAAGTTAATCATTGAAAAATGTGCCCTTCCCTTAAGTTTCCCAATTTCTTTCTTAATCTAATCAAGTTATGTGTGCAATTTCACAATCTAATTCAAGTTAATTTATAACACATTTTAAAAGTGCTTTTGTTTAAAAAAAAACAGAATGAGGACTTGTAGCGTGTTTGGTGGGTAATGCTCTAAAAATGTGTTTACTGCATCTCTACATGTTCGGTCTAATTTACGTCACAACAACTGTGTAAAATTCTGCAAACAACCCTTATTCTGACACATAGGAATCCAAGTATATGTTTGTAAAAAATATAGACTTATATCCTTAGAAAACAAAAAATAAACCACTTTATGCTACTATTCAGTTTCCTGCTAATCCTAGGCACTTACTAAAATAAAATTGTAAAGGTTTATCAGACCCTATAAAGTGTCTATATCTTCACCAAGTCTACTTCTGCATGTGTTTCTGAGACAGACCCATGATCTCTGAGGGCACTGCCAAGAAGAAGGCTTCAGGTTATGGTCACCCAGAACAGAACACCCACCTCTCAGATCTCAAAATGTCAGGACAGTGCGAATGCTGAAATGGAAAAATGACAGGGTTTAGTTATTTGTGCATATACATGTGTACATACATACATACATACATACATACATACATACATACATATGGAGAAAAACATTCCTTCCTATGATAGAAGCCTTATGGGCAATCCTCTTATGGGAAAGCCATCTGGGTTTGAGGTCCACACCTTCTCTGCACTCCGGTGAGGGAAGCTGAGTGGAGAATGAATTGACTCTGGAAGCACCTGCTTATTGCAATTGTTACCAAGAAAGAGTTTGTCCTGCATATTGGGGAGGCCATATTGGGGAGAACAGGAAAGACAATCCAAGAGGGTGTAGACATCTTGGTGCCCAAGAGATGGTAAAAGCAGGTAAGACTTTTCCTCTATCTCCTCTATCTCCAGAGTTTTGCCAGGGGCTGCAGAAGAGTGAGTGTTGTGTTCTTCCTTATTGAATATTAGATCACTTAATGACTGGAAGTGGGCTGAAGTTCAATAATAAAGCCACTTTGGGACATTGCTATTTGGGGATGACCTGAATACATTTGCTCATAAAGAACCAGCTAGGACTGGAAAGCAGGAAGCAGAAGGCTCACTAAATTTCTGCCAGCATGTCCAGAGAAGCATGTCCATGATCAGACTGGGCCACCACAATGGTCTTGGGCAGGGAAGAGGAGAGATACTGGTAGAGAAGGGGTGGGGAGGGATGAGTGTGGGGGGGTCCTGTCTGCAGGTCTCAGCATCACTTTGGACACACTGGGCAGGAGTCAGGATGAAGATGCAGTGCTCTGGCTCCTACTCTATAAAAGCAGAACAAGCATTGTTCTCTGCTTAGATATAGCAAAGAATTGTTTTTGGTGAAGCTGATGGAAATGGAACATTCTGGGTGTCCAATATAGGAAGTTATGGGAATTTAAGTCCTCATTTGGGAAGTTACTGCATTAGGGAGATAGTAGATGTAAGACTTCTGAAAGTAGTTTTATTTGGAAAACAATTAGTAATTAATTTTCAAACCATATTAAAATATTAGTATTGTGTATGTAAATAAATGAATTTTTACTTTTTTTAGATAGAAATCTACTCATAGTTTACTTGAACAAAAATCCAAATTTAAACATATGTACGATCCTGTAGACTTCATCAGGAATAGAGAGGGCATTGAAAAGAAATGTTAGTTCCTATTACTGGCAGAATCCAAACCTGCTGCACACTGCTGATGCTCAAGGTTTACAGAATCAATGAATGCCATCTATTTTGACCTCATAGGCAGGTCTCAGAAATCCATAAGGGGAGGGTAGCTGAATTTTGACTCCTTCGCACTCCACCTTGCCCTTGCCCAGGCGGGAGAAATGCATGACAGGAACACCCACTGATTTTCTGGCTTATGGGGCTTTAGGTGAGAAGCCTCGCCTATATGGAACAGAGTGCACCCTGACACTGCTCCCATGAAACCAAATATTAATTATTTGCCTTTTGTAACCTCAGTTTCATCAGCTGAATATGGCAAGAATAACATCTGAGGAACAAAACTCAGAAACCAAACAAGTTGCAAAATAGCTTTGGGAGCAGTAAAGAAGTTCACCATGGTATTGCTTGAGAATTCTGGCAGCTTTATAATGTGAGAAACGGCCAATGAGATCCATCTGGCATGAAGAATTAAGTCTAGGAGATTTAAAAGAGCTCTTATAGAACGTTCTAGGAGAGTAGCTATGTTCCTCTGGCTACCTTAAGTAATGTAAAATAAAAAGGGAAAGAAATGGGTATACTTAGAAATACTAAACTTTAAAAGTAGCTTGTGGGAAAAAGTCAAAAGTTACCATAAGAAAACATACCTTTGCCCTGAATAAAGCAATTCAAATCCTTCATTGATCTTTTAAAGGGCAAGGTGTGGGTGATTAACTGGTCCAGGTCAAATTTCTCTTCCAGGAGCTCAGTCACCAGTTTTGGTACATCATCTCTGCTCTTCCAACCTGTGAGTAAACTTGGTAAAGCGTGTGCTCTGCTAAGAAATCCTCACGTTGTATGGCATTATAGAGTGTCCTTTCTCTTATGCATGACCGACCTTCCCAACATACAAACAAGCTGCATTCCTCCCATCCTAAGAAACCAAGGCCAACAAAAGCCTTCTTGATTCCTACCTCCTTCCAGCTGCCCCCACCGCTCCATGTTGGGCAGAACTGCAGACAGAGCTGTCTCCCAGGGACTCTTTCTGGCTCCAGTCCCTGATTTTCTAGTGAGCTCACTACACAGATTCACATTCTAGCACACTGCTGTCTCTGCTCTACTCAAGGTTACCCACCATCATTATGGCACGACAGTGGACTATGAGTCCTTTGGGGAACCTTGGTGGTTGATTTGTCCCTGTCTCACTCTACTCCTTGTTTCTGGTCATATATTCATCCTTGTTCATTATTATCCTATTTCAGCTCGGAAAATGTCTTTACTGAATCCTCCGCATCTCCCAGACTTCTACTGTGTCCCAGGGCTTAGTCCTCATACCTTTCTCCTCTTTGTGTCTCTCAGCGTAATCTCCTCTATGCTAAGGACTTTAAATAAACTATATCTACAACATTTAAGTGTCTGTTTCCAGTGAGACCTTCCCTTGAGCTATAGACTATCTGTGGCATGTGTTCTTCAAAGTATCTGAAAATTAGGAGGCCTAATAACCGACATTCGGTTTTGTTCTGCAAACACACAACTAAAAGTATCATTATCAGCATGGGATCAACACTAAATGATACAGAAAGGGGCATAGCAACAGTCAACATCACCTGACCACTCTTGATTTCCACCACCTTCCCAGAGCCCCCAGCCTGCTCCTTCTGCAGTCTGGGGATCTGAACTTAGGTGTTCATGTTTGTGCAGCAAGCACTTTGCCCCTGAACCATCTCCCCAGCCTTACATGAAGCTTTCAACATATAACAAATGCAAAATGACTCCTCTTATAATGAATCGCATCATATCAATAGCAACATTAACTTTTATATCATTTCATTCATATTTTTGTTTGCATTTTCCAACAAATTACATACTTCTCTAATTCAAGATTATCTTTGTCCTCTTTATACTCCCAGCAGGTACTCAAATGGTTTTTCTTCTCTCACACTGTGTAAGACCAAGTCTAATATGAGAAGTACCTCCTAAATCCCTAGTGATACATGAAGGTACCAGAATAGGATGTCGTAGGGAAGTGATTGGAAGTGTGATTATACTCCTCCGTACTGCAGTAGAGTGATCCTGGCCTCATCCTTACAGGTTCTCAGTTGTTCTAGTCAGAAGCTGACCTGTCCCCCATGGGATATGCATTTCAGCTGTTCATTTATTTGAGCTCTGGGCACAGAATTTTGCCAAGGTCGTCATGAGTAGGGCAACTTCTGTTTCTTAAGTGAGTGCTCTTTGTGTGTATGGAGAGCAACGGATGCCCTCAGAACTTTCTACCACGGAAGTCATCCCTGCGGAGACATGTCTGGTGCCTTTTACTCAGGCCTTTGGTCACAGGAGTTGCAGATACTGACCTAGAGTATGCCCACTGGTGCTAGCCCTGAGTCACTTAAGGAACAGACAGATGCCATTTGTGTGATTGCTATCACAGTTCCATGTGGGGTCATTTACCACTCATCCTTGGAAGATAGAACTTGGAGGGTGAGTAGATGAGAACATAAGCCTCTCTCCCTTGATAGGCAGGAGACACAAAGTTACTAGCTGCTGTCAGGAGGCCCAGCTACCTCACCTCCAAAGATGCAGCCCTTCCATGTCCGGCCAGTGAAAAGCAGCATTGGGTCATAAGTGAGCATCTTGGCTGATGGAGGAGCACCAACCACCACACTGGTCCCGTAGTTCATATGGCAAGATGAGAGGGCATCAACCTGAGTTTAAGAAGAAGGAGATGGTTGCTCCTGGAGATTATGGGCTCAGAAACAACAGGTGGTTGGAGTTCCAGTTGTTAACATGGTTTCCAACTACTAAATCAATTAGGTCCCTAGACTTCAGGTTTCTATTTGATTTAAAAATTGTCAATGCAACTTTAGTTATAATAATTATTATAACTGTATTATAATTATAACTGTATAATTATAATTATGACTGTATAATAATAGCTGTATTATAATTATAATAAGTAATCCCTACAGACACATGCCTCTTAAGATGGAAGTAGCCTTTACTGTGGCCAGTGTAATTGCTATTTTTAGTACATTTGGTTGACCTTCATGGACTAACAACACAAGGGAATCCATGTGATACTTTCACACCAACAGCAACCGTTCAGGTAAGCCTTAAGTTATTTGGGTTGAATGAATTAATCAATTAAGATGTTTAAAATCTTCATTTGAAAATTAAACACAAATACTAAAACATGAGGCAAGGAGTTTCTTCTCCTGGCAATATCTCCAAGGCTAGGTCCACATTTGTGATCACTCACCCTTTCTGTTATTCATTAATTACCCTTTAAATACTCAGGAGGTTGCAACAGCAGACAGCATGCTTCAGACAGCTCTAACTCAAAGTTCCACCTCAGAATCAAGCGACCTCATAATGTTTCTGTCTGACTCGTGGCTCTAGGAAGTACGCCTGGAAGGCCACAGGTGCAACGGAATAAACCCCAGGTGACATCAAAAAAGGGGATGTGACAGTGACGATGAACTGAAAGTTTCTTCTCAATGATGAACTAAAAACGTTTCTTCTCAATTACCGAATGCCTTAGGAGCAAATCTCACCTGTTATGCAATGTGAGCAAAACTGGTTTTGTCCAGGTCTCCAGGTCTCCTAATTCTACCCAAGGCCAGGGCTTCCCTAATCCCAAGGACTCTATAAAGTCTGCCACCAGGGTGCCACAGAGGAGGCTGAACAGCTGAGCTCAGTGAAACGAGAGGGTTTGGAGGAAGGTACCATATATACAACAATGCTCTTCCCCGTTATCGTCTCCTTAGCTCTCTTTAGTTCTCATCACAAAACAAATTCAAGAAATGGAATCACTTTTGCCAAGACCTCCTCCACATATACAAGGAAGGTTATGGGCCACAGGTTGACTTCTTGCCCTCTAGTCACATGAAAATGGCATGACATGATACATGATCAGGTAAAACTGATCTTTGTGATTTTTTTGGCAAAATTGTTATGTGGCTATTATTTTTCATTGCATTTTTATGCATTTATTTGTGTGTGGCCACGAGCACGGGTGAGTACATGCTTTGGAGTGTGTGTGGAGATCAGAGAATGAACTTGTGAGAACTGGTTTTCTTCTCTACGTGTCAGTATTGGGAATCAAACTCAGGCCGTCCATCTTGGAGACAAGCACCTTTACTCACTGAGCCATTATACCAGCCCTGCTCTTTTTGGCCTGAGTCACAGATATTTCCATAGTTGACTGTTAATAAAGCTATGCAAAATGACTTTTAACATGAATGCATCTTGTAGCTTGGGTATTTAGTGGCTCGCTGGAGCTTGAGTCTTACCATGGTTTCAAGACGCCCGATAACTTCAAACGTGTACTGCACGGTGTTCCCCATGTCATGTCTGACAGCACCTCACTGATGGGCTTGGTGAAGTCCTTGGGACTGATACACTCCGTGGCACCTACAGCCAGGGCCTTCTGGAATTTGTCCTTGTTGATGTCAATTCCAATGATCCTGGAGGCTCCAGCTGCCTTACAGCCCATGATGACTGACAGGCCAACTCCTCCCAGGCCAAACACCACACAAGTGGAGCCAGGGGCAACCTGTGGAGAGGAAAGTTCCTCCAAGAGTTAATGATGAAACCTGCCAAGTACCCTCAGTGTCAGGAACACAAAATTCAGAGGATTCATGACTTGCACCAGGACTCCAGGTGACTTATTCTGGTGACAGTGAAACAAAAAGAATTAGAAGGAGAAGAATGCCTAAGAAAGAAAGGGCTGGCCAGAGTAAAGGCAGTGTTTGCCAGGTAAACAGCAGCCCTTCCTAAAGCCTTTGTAGCCTGTGTGGCCCTACTGACAACCCCCTCTGCCCTCAGGAGGGTTAGACAAGCTCCACACCCTCCCTATTGTTGTTCTACAAATCCATGCTGAGTTGGTTTTGGTTTGTTCTGACTAGTAGTGTCTGAAGAATCATGACTCTGAGTCATTTGGAGTTGTATTGTCTTCCCCCACCCTCAGCCAAGTCCAACCTCCATGATACAGCGGTTCAGTGGCTGATGGGTAACTCGAGGAAGGAACCCTACTTAAATCAGCTTTGGGAATTTTATATAGTACTATGCTAGATTAAAGAAGGATTTAGTCCACAGTCACTCTCCTGCTAGAAGAATAACCAAGATCAAAATCCAAATGATCACTTAGAAACTCACTAGGTCTTTGTGTTACGTGGTGGCTGTTCTGGTCTTCCCTGTGTCCTCCAACCCTTCCGTACCCAACACCTGGCCTAACGTGGAGAGTGTCTTTGCAGAGGTGGTCAAGTTACAATGAGGTCATTAGGAAAAGCCTCTCTATGGTTTAGTGTAGTTAGAGCTATCTTTCATGCTCTGTGATCTGGGGACGTTGTACCCAGTGTGACCTTGTACATGGCTATGAAACCTGTGTGGCCTAATGAGAAGTGAGGAGGTGCTTGAAGGTGCTGGCCTCGGCAGGGGTTAATTCTTGGGGCATCTTGGTTAGTTCCCTGTAGCGTGGGCTCTGTGGGGTGGCATGGTGCACTTGACCTCTGGTATGCACTGTTCTCTCCTGCCTCGGGTTTTCTGTGCTGTAGGAAGCTGGAGAGGTCCCTAGCCAGAGGCTGACTAGATGAAGCGTGTGAGTTAGAACTTCTGGTCTTCAAAACCGTGAGCCAAATAAACCTGCTTCCTTTTTATGTAACCATGCTCAGGTATGTTGTCATAGCAACATAAACCTGATTAGTACATCTCCAACCCAACGTGACTACTGGTGTTCTTCTTTTTTTTTTTTTTTTTTTCTTAATTGAAATGTAAATATAAAGATTCAGTAGGGAAGACCATATGAAAAACCTGGGAGATTGACAGCCATGGACGAGGCAGGAAGGGAAGCCTGAAGCAGGCCCTCCCCGCGCAGCCCTCAGTAGGAAGCAACCCCTGCCAGCACTTTGATTGTGAACTTCTGATCTACAGGCCTCTATGACAGTAAACCTTTGTTGCTTAAGCCAGCACTTGGCTACAGTCTTCTGAGCAAACTAACATACCAGCAGCAATAGCGTTTGATGGGAAAAAAGAGAGATTCGTTCTAGGACTGAATACAAACTTCAGTGATTTAACCCGAAGGAGATGCTGCAAAACAAAGATCCGTGTATTTAAAAATAAAATCTCGACCTTGATCCCTGCCGTGCCTTTTCTTCCAGTTCACCTGGAGCATGTATGTTTTCACAACGTTTCATTTCAGATTGCTAAGAAAACCAGCTAAGAAGACTGACAGGCAGGAAGGCAAAAGCTACGCAAGTCAGCCCTGATTCTTACCTTGGCCGTTTTAACAGCAGCCCCATAGCCTGTGGAAAACCCACAGCCAATAAGGCAGGCTTTCTCAGGAGCAGCCGCACGGTCAATCTTAGCTACAGACGACTCGTCTAGCACTGTGTACTCGGTGAAGGTGCTAGTGTTCATGAAATGCTGGACTGGTTTGCCCTTGCACGTGAATCTGGTAGAGCCATCGGCCAGTACTCCACGGCCCGTCAGACTGTTCAACACAGCAAATGCACACATTACTTGATTCAATTCAGAAACTATTATGGGCGACTCAAATGACAGAGTAAACAATAACACCTACTCGCTCCTAATGCAGAGATTGCCTTCTGGGTTAATGCAGGCATTGCATTCTCTGCACTGTGGTAGAAAGAGGGGGATGACCTTGTCACCTAGAAGGAAAGTAGCATTATGTTAAGACGTCACTCATTTGCATTAAAATATGAAGAAAGCTGGCTCCTGCCTGTAATCCTAGCACAGTGGTGACTGACACGCGAATACTTTCAGGCCAGCCTTGAAAACATTAAGATCATTTTTTTTAAGAGCCATTAATAGTTAACATTAATTAACTAATTGATAGAAAACGGGTATGAATTGACCTATGTAATACATAAAAATACCTTTAAAATATTCTAAGGGTTATAAAAATACCACCAAGTGGTGTCAAAGGTTGAGACTTGTCCAGCTGACTTCACTCAGTACAATCCGGTCTCCTTGTGTCTTTAAGTTGGGCTGCACCTTTCTACTGACCCCCAGTGAAGACGGGCTGTTTCCTTCCATACCATGACCAAGGCCTCCATACCTGGTCTCACTGTAGTGACCCCGTCTCCAACACTCTCTACGACCCCCAACTGCTTCATGTCCCACAATCACTGGAAACTTAGACACCATTGCTCCTTTTATCACATGGTCATCCGTGCGACAGATTCCTGTGGCCAAAATCTGTTAAAAACAACAACGACAAACATTGCACCACCAGCAAATGGATCACTTTAGAACAGGGTGGCATTTAACTTGCTCCCTTTGACTCTGTATCATTTCCTTGAATGACAGTGCTGACGCTAAGACAGTCTGAGCCTGAAGCAAGCATCAGGCCACGTTCCTCGCTTCAGGGATGGACAGCATTGCTGCTTCCCCTTCCTGCTTGGATCTTGGTGCTTTTCTACAGTGAAGAAGTCAGACTAGCATCAAAGCCTGTTCTACAGGGGCATCTAACCCGATGGCGACAGAGGGGGCACTGCAGGATAGTATTGCTTCTCAGTCACAATGAGTCCCTAGTGAAAGTCCTATGGGTGGCCCTGGTGGAACAGACCCGTAGCCCCATCTACTTGGGATACAGAGGCAAGGGGATGATCACAAAGTTCATATCTTACCCAGGCTACAAAGTGAGTTCAAGGTCAGCCCATGTGGCTTAGAAGACCCTGTCTCCAAGCAAGAGGTGAAAACATAACTAGAGATATAGTTCCTTGGCTGAACACTTGCCTTGCATGCATGATACCCAGGGTTCTATTCCCTGTACCGTATATGAGTCAATATATATAATGACTCAAAGAAGATTTAAGATAATTCTTGATCATGGTATTGATCATTTTCTATAATACACTTCACCAGTAAAAATTCAATAAAATTTCTGTTTAATAAGCTAGATTGACATTGTCATTCTTAATAGGCAATAAACTGGTGAATTTCACAGCCAGCATGTCAGTTAATAGCAGTGGCTGCTCTCCCAGAGTACCCTGCTTTGATTCCGAGCACACACACGGCACCTTACAACTACAGTTCCAGGGGATGCAGCGCCCTCTTCTGGCCTTCTCTAGCACCAAACATATGTGGTCAGACAAACACCCCACACACATAAAATAATAAATACATAACATTTTAGAGGGAAGCCAGCCTCGCAGCAATGTCTTTCTCAACATAAATGAGATCTCCTTTCAGGATTATGTGTTCCAGGCCCCTTTCTTACCTTAACACGAACTTCCTTAGCCTTTGGTGGGGCCACTTCTATTTCCTCAATAGAGAAGGGCTGGTTCATTCCCCATAGTACAGCTGCTTTGCACTTAATAACCTAAGAAGCCAAGAGTCATAACAGGTGTTAATCACAAATGCAGTCTCCCTGAGTCATAGAAATATCACAGATGATCACAGATGTTTTCCTTCAGTGACAGAATTTGAAGCCTTACAGATTATCTTGTGTGGACCTTTATCTGATGTCATGGCCTGAAAATGAAAGACCCAGAACACATAGCACATAAGGCCATGACTGAAATTCACACGATATTCCGATAAAGTACAATTGGTATGATTTCAAATGTGATAGATGAGTTCTACTGTCATCTGTGTGTTGCTTATTAATGAAGGTCAGGTCTATAAAACAGAGGACACTGCTGATCTGTAAGAATTTAACCAGACTTTAATTACATCCAACCCACTGAGCAATGGTGATGCAATGAGACAACTCGTCATAAGGCATTGGGGTAAGAAAATGGGGAAAGAAAATGGCCTCCAAATGGAGTGGCACTATGGAGGTGTGGCCTGGTTGGAGTAGATGCAGTCTTGTTGGAGGAAGTGTGTCTCTGTGGGGGTGGGCTTTGAGATATCCTACGCTCAAGCTAGTCTTAGTGTGGCACATAGTTGCTTCCTTGTGGTAGATCAAGAGGTAGAATTCTCAGATCCTTCTCCAGTAACACATACTGCCATGAAGATAATAGACTAAACCTCTGAAATTATAAGTCCCCTACCCCCAGTTAAATGTTTTCCTTTATAAGACTTGTTGTGGTCATGGTGTTTCTTCACAGCAATAGAAACTCTAATTAAAACAGAAGTTGGTACCAAGGACTGAGGTATTGCTGTGATAGGCCTGACCATGCTTTTGTTTAGAGGAACATGGACTTTGGCAGTTTGAGTTAGGAAAGCACTGGAACACTTTTAAGCACTGTTTTGTGGGCCACAAAAGTAGGAGCATGGAGGACAGTAGTACTAAGGGTAATTTGAATTGTGGGGGCCTAACTCAAGAGGTTTCAGAGATGAAGAATTTTAGTACGTTGCCTACAGATTATTCTTGTGGTGAAGAATGTCGTTGCTTTTTACCCTTGTCCTAAAAAATCTGCCTGAGACCAGAAACTCTCAAGACAACCTAGTATGGATTCTATTGTGTGGTTACTAATGTTAAATCTAATGAGGATTTATAATGAAAAATGAGCTGAGAAAGGAAAAATACAAAACATACAATTTGAGGAGAAAAGGAGCCCCAGGAAGTGAAATGGGGCTAAGTCCTGAGTTCAAGGATATAAACTGGTTAAGAAATGAAATAAAGGGTGTAATAACATCGGGGCAAGATCCTACATAGCTAAGTTTCCAACTTGTGAAAAGAAATTAAAGAAAAACTTAGACCAGGGTGTGGTGTGTAGGCCTTTAAACCCAGCACTCTGGAGCCTTAAGCAAGCAGGTCTATAAGTTCAAGGCCATCTTTGTTGACAGACTGAGTTCCAGGACAGCCCCCAAGATCAGGCAGTGAAAGAAACCATGGAAAACAGAAAGATGCTAAATATGTAATTGAACAAGGGAGCCATGTCCCAGCCCTACCAAGCAGCAAAACTTGGCAACTTCAGTCACATGGTTCTGGCCTGAGAGTCGATGATAGAAGGAAGGGATTATACAGTCTCCCTCATTACTAAGGAAAGCTACTGAGATCAGGTGTGTGACAGGGGTGTCCCTGCACAGAGGCTCAGACAGGCTATTGTGTGAAGCTGTGAGGTTGAAGCCTGGATTGCCTTGCAGAGTCCAAGATGTTGGAGATGCCGGAGCCATGGGACACCTGCCAAGGAGAGCTGCTAACAGGGAGTGGGACCTGCCCAAGAGGAAGAAGCGTGCTGCAGTCAACAGAGCTGGAAGGAGTTGGAGAGCTGAAGAGTTTTCGACATCAGACATGGAGAGCTTTGGTCCAGTGTTTCGTCACTATTCTCCCCTCCCTGTTTTGGAATGGTAATGCATATCCTGTGCCATCATATGTTGGAAATGTGTATATGCTTTTTTATTTTGATTTTACACGTGATTGCAGCTAAGAGATTATGTGAGTATCGAAAGAGACTTTGAACCTCAGATTTTTAAATAAGTTTGACCGTGGGGACTTCTGAAGTTGGACTGAACGTGCTTTTGCATGATTATATGGTTATAAATCTTTGGGGCCAGAAAGTGAAATGTGATAGTTTGAAACAAAATGGTCCCCAAAGAGAGTGTCGCTATTAGGAGGTGTAGCTTTGTTGTGGTAGATATAGCCTTGTTGGAGGAAGTGTGTCACTGCGGGGGCAGGGGGATGGGCTTTGAGGTCTCCTATGCTCAAGCTACTCTCAGAGCAGCACATAGTTGATTCCTGTTGCCCACAGATGAAGATGTAGAACTCTCAGCTCCTTCTCCAGCACCATATCTGCCTGCACATTGCCATATCCTGCCAGGAAGATAATGAACTAAACCTCTGAGTTTGTAAGCCCCTCCCCCTTTATAAAAATTGCTATGGTCATGACATCTGTTCATAGCACTAGAAACCCTAAATAAGACAAACACGGAAATGTTTGTTACCATCATGTGGATTGTGACTGTGCTTCTGGAGTGTGATCTGTCTGTATCTTCATATCTCTGTATCCCTTTTTGCACTTAACCCAAATCAGAGCTTTTTACTCTGTACAAATAGGACATACCTAGCAACTTACCACTAGGCACTCACATGGTTTTGCTAGAGCTAATCAGCTAACAGGTTTTGGTAACAGTATCAAATTCTCATGAGAGAGGGAGAGAGAGAGAGAGAGAGAGAGAGAGAGAGAGAGAGAGAGAGAGAGAGAGAGAGAGAGAGAGAGAATTTAAGTTTGCTGACCACCTAGCTTGGATATACAGCAGTCACAAGAAACCCTGCTTTAAACAAAGATAGAAGCAGAGGGACAGAGATACCCAAGGTTGTCTTCTGATTTCCACATGTGAGCTATAACATGCAGATACCTATATTCACACACATATATGTGTAACCACACAGAGAGAGACAGAGAGAGAGAGAGAGAGAAAGAGAGAGAGAGAGAGGAGGGGGAGGAGGGGGAGAGAGGGAGGGCATGCAAATTCAAATAAAGTAAAATCTAAAATTCTCATTTGTTATGATTCAACACTGTTGTGTAATATTATTTTAACTAGGCAAAGATGTGTTACATTTGTTTAGAATGCAGAATACTACTTTAATTGTGTAAAAGTGTGTTACATTTGCTTATGCTGCATTTGTTTAATGGTGTAAGGATGTATTTAATTGTGTAACAATGTGTTGCATTTGTTTCACCTTGCCTGCCTAAGGCACCTGATTGTTCTAATCAGGAACAAACAGCTAGGCGGGAGAAAGAATAGGTCCTGCTTCTAGGCAGAGAGAATAAATGGGAGGAGAAACCTAGGCTTGGGAGCTGGTTGGTGACCCCAAAGAAAAGCTTACAAGCTACCGCTCAACTTATTGGCCAACTCATGAAAACTCCTTTAGATTAAATGTGGGGAACATCATTCTAGAGACAGATTAATGACAGAAAACCACCATTGTCTCATTTAACATGTACCCTTTGTCTAGCTAAGAAAAGTATTTCAGTCACAGAATAATCTGGCCAACACTAAACTAGAATTTTCACATCACATTAACGGCAGTGACAGAGAGCATAGAGTAACTTTCGTATTTAACAATGACAGGAGAAAATGTCATAAAGGAAATAATAGCTTATCATAGGCATTTCCCCAGCATCTCATCCAGCTATGTAGCTGAGGCTGCAGACTGGTCCCAAAATCAACAACCCTTCTGTCTCAGCCCCCTGAGTGCTGGGGAAATAGGAATGTGTGATTTTCTGAAAGTGTTGTATGCTGAGAGACAACAGCTTTTCCAAGTAGAACAGAGATGTCCTGGGAGAGGATACTTGAAGCAAAATGGGAAAAGTCGCCTTGTTGGACACACAGAAAGCTTAATCAAATATATAAAGAAGGTATCAAGATCTCCAATCACTGCTCTGACCTCTGAGCTAGTCCTCTGTCCCAGGAGATGTACATAAAGGACCCCAACAGGAAAATACAAATTAATATACTGTGGTATATTTACTATACTTGCTCTTAAGAATATTTTCAAAAGACTAGAAATAACAAGCTATAATTCTTGATTTATCAAATTGATAGTGAATTTGTACTTAACAAGAATACCCAATTTTGTCCAAGCAATAAAATGGGCAGTCCTATTCAGGGTCACCTCTTTGGAAAGTAACTTTCTCAGTACATCAAGATACATAAGCATGTATTGATACTTTTACCCTATAATTCCATTATTACAATCAGCCTCAAGGGAGAAGAAAGTGCAGAAACATCTTAATATGCTTTGGAGGTTATCTCCAGTACTCTAAGGGAAATATGTAAAAAAGAATGGAGGAAACTTAAAACCAGAAATCAATGTAAGATGTTGAAAATGATTGTTAAGTTGGAAAAATAGGTTAAAGATATCCATATCCTATATGAATATAGCCACATAAAATATGGTTGGAGGATGCGGGAGGGGTAGGCGAAAACAAACTCAGTGCTTGTTTGGGAATGCAGGAACATGCTTGTCTCCCCCCTACACACACACACACACACACACACACACACACACACACACACACACACACACACACACATTCTGTTTCTCTAAATTCTCTATGATAAGCACTGTAATAAAGCAAAGCCTCCAAACTCGTGTATTGAAGCCCTAACCCTCAATACCTCAAAATATTATGGCACTTGGATATAGGATCTTTTGCATTGCAATAGAGTTAAGATGTGGTCGGTGAAGTTATTCCAGTCCAATAGGAGTGTTTTATAATGAGGGAAAGCTATGTAGAGATAGCAAGAAGAGCACCTCCTAAGCAAGGATCCTAAAGGAACCCATGTTCTCAACAGTCTGTTCTCAGATCCCAGCTCCAAACGCCTGAGGAAGTACAGCTCTGCTCTTTAAGCATGCGGTCCCTGTACTTGGTTATGGCATCTTTAGCAACATAATATAGTCATCTTAAAAAAAATGAAATCGCAAAAAATGAAGAGAGGAGTGCTGATGTAAGGGAGCCTCTTCCTGAGATGCACAAAAACATCAGGACAAGTTTTGGAGCAAACAACCCGCTGTGGACCACCCTACCGTATAACATCACCAAGTGAAAATGCTAAACTTGCTGTGCTGTTCGTTTTATATGGTGTGTTCTTAATTATAGTTAGGAGATGCTGCCTGGAGCCCCCGAATTCTTCAGGACTGGGGATGTTCTGATAGTGGCTGCGCATTTACTTGATGAAGGACACAGGACAGGTTGTGTGGAGTTGCAAATATTTTAAGATTCATTTCAGCGCTTACATTCCATTTATTTCTATGAGCAAAGTTACTAACTTCCATAGCGCAAGACTAATTTTCCTGATTATCAGTGTTTACGGGATTTCTGACTCAAAATAAGATGTTTTCATTCTTTCTCTGTTCAGTTCTGGGCGAAAAGGTTTTTCAGATTCTAGCATCCTAGGGTAACCTCAGAGACACTAGTGTTACCGAGACTTTTAATGGCATCTCTGCCTTCCTAAAATGTTAAGGTAGACTAAATGCAAAGTTGTTTAAAAATAATACAAACATAAGTGTCTAACATCTTATATAGTTCTGTACCCATGTAAGACCTATCCCAATCTTCAAGCAAGAAAAAAGTCATATTTCTTAAATTACTGTCACCATGTAGGCACTTTTACCTCCTGAAGAAAAAAACCTGCTTTATCTACAGCATAGTCCTATTGTCTAAGAAGATCTACTCTTATATTTGCTACAAAACATCTCCTCAGAAACTTGAAAAGTGAGATTACTTTGTTGTTGACTTTGCATTCCAGAATTAGCATTTTCCATCCTCAACAGCAGGCCACATCTCCTCACCCCAAAGCTGCACAGGAGATCCTGGACCAATTAAACTCCTGAGCATACACTGTTGACCCTACTGAAGTCTCCTCTCCTCGTGGAAAACAGTTTGCTCTCTAGAGCAAGTGACTGGCTAACCTGAAATTAAATTATGAATAATGCCCATATTATAAACCACAATTCTCTTTTTGCCTTTGCTGCCTTCTAGAAGAACCTTTTGTATGTGGTTTTCAATCAAATCCTACTGCTTACTATTGTGGTTCTGTCATAATTGACCCATGTTCCCCCCATGGGTGCTCACACAACAGCCTCAACAAACAGCCTTGAGTATTTAGTCACTCTACTGTATTCAATGCTCTTAGGAGCAGCCCCTATTATTAGCTCTAGAGAATAAGAAAGCTGAAATATTTCCCTTACTTTTCCAGCAGTGCCCATCCTGGCTCCCTTGGGTTTGTGGTCTGCAAACGTTTTTGACTGCTCAGTTCACTCTTCTGTGAGTAACAACATCTGCCACCTTCAATAAATAGCGTGAGTTGGAAGTTCTGCCTGCCTTCAACAACATGATTCACAGCCTTGAAACTTTCCCAACCCCAAAAAGCTCCACCCTCCTGAAAATCAAGTGGTAAAAAGAAATACAATAACTGTTACGATTAGACAACGAATAAGAACCTAACAAAAACTGGATAGTCAACTCTGCTGAGAAGGGCCAGAAAACATCGTTACCCATTTTGTTTTGGATAATATAAAAACAGGTCACATTAATTCAGCTCAGTGTGGTTGATAAAGAATAAATTGTGTGCCTCTAAGTGCAGGCTGTTATGTAGGGCAGCTGATTTTAGGGATTCATTTGAGCATTTGTATTTGCATTCCATTCTGCAGACTTGACATAGCTTGTAGATAGTGTGGCTAAATATAAAGAGGGCTAAGGGCATGACTGTGTGATAGAGCCCATGTCTTACCCCGGGCTCAGTCCTTAGCAACACACACACTCACACACACACAATTATAATGATATGTATGTATGCATGCATGTATGTAATCGATGCAAGAAAATGTGTAAAAATCTGTATCTACCCACAATTGCTTACACACAGGAAGCTAGACTTCTAGGGAATTAGAATCCTGTTATACACAGGGTCCCTTGCATCCCCAAAGGAAATCCCTTGGGCAAGCACTTAGTAGTTTCACCATTTTAAGCCACTACTTTCTAGTATGCAGCCACACACCAGACCCTCCTGAATTTGCTTTCTTCTTTGATAGGAGGATGCCCAAGGTATTTCTTATTGTTGACAGTGGTGAGTTACCATATTGGCAGACCATAGCCTCCAGTAAACTCTCCATTTGTCAGTAAGATGTCACTCTAGTGGAGTGACACAGTGAGGCAGGCTTTCATCTTTAGACAATAAGCTCTTCAGTCCTCTAACACAGAATAATGACTCTTACCAGCATAGAAGACATCTGGCAGAGTTTGTTGTTCAGCTACTTATGTATCAACAAAATCCTTCCCTCTGACAAACGGAAAACATGGCCACAAATCTCTCAGTGTAATGCAATACACGCGGTAAGTCTACTTTAGCGCGTTATCCTAGCTCAGAAGTAGTCATTGTGATCTTTAATTCTAGTGCACGGGCCAAATTAGACCCAGCAGGGAAAGCACTGTCAGTGGATTGGGCTTGTATGTAAGAGCCATTGTTTAGGCAGCAGTGATGGAGAACCCCAGCATACGCTGTAGGCACGGTAGAGGAGAGTTAGGCAGGTATGGACACGGGCAGACTTCTGCGTCTCAACTGGCAAACAGCAAAGAGCAAGGCTCGGCTCAGCAGCAAAAGCCTGTTTACTTCCGAACGAAGAAGGCAAAGAGTACCAACATGGGCGGTGCCTGAACAAAGGCAACAGAACCCAAACAAGGGTGGTACCTGCACAAAGGCAAAATGGCTCAGTTGATAAACTCCTTAAGGGTTTTGCAAAACTTCTTAACGTACTAGTCTAAAAAGTAAAATATTCTCAAATTAATGTACCAGGGGATATTTGATGGCTAAATAAGTTTTTATGTTCTCAAGCCATTTCACCCAGAATTTATTGGCAAAAAAAAAAAAAAAAAAAAAAAAAAAAAAAAAAAATCAAAAGCTGAAAGTTGGAAAGTACCCAAGAAAAATGGCTATTCTGGAGGAGTGGAAACAGGAAGAGTTGAAGGGAAGGAATAGTGGAATGAATATGGTCAAAATACATTGTGTGGATGTGTGAAATTCTCAAAGGACATTGTATTAAAATTAGACTTAAAATGAATGGCTTGAAGTTGCCAGGGTAACACATCAGGTTAGGAGCTTCTTTCATGCAATGTGATGAATAAGAAGAGTCAAATAGCAAAGGACAGAATGCATTGCAAGCAGAGAGAGACAGGAGAGCAGTGACTAGCACCCAGGATTTAACAGGAAAGCTGAAGGTAGGGAGAAACAGCAGAACAGCAGCGAAGGACTGGACAGCTCGTAGCTCAAATGTGGCTCTCTGATGGAGCAGATGCTGCATCCAAAAGATAAACAGTTAAAAAGTTACTGATGGTCCTACCCATGGGACAATCCAACAGTTACCACAGGCCTGAATACAGGAGGGCTTAGGCAGGGCTCCTGCTTGATGGGCAGCTGTGCAGAGGGATTCCATTTTCTCACACCGAGTATCTTAGATAGAGATCAGTGGCCAGGTGCCATCATGAGAGTTAAGCTTCAGAATACATTTAAGATGGTATCTCAGAGTCATTTTGATTTGTATTTCCCTGATGGCTAAGGATGTCGAACAATTCTTTAAGTTTATCTAGACCATTTAAGATTCTTCTATTGAGAATTCTCTGTTTAAATCTGTACCCCATTCTTAAATTGGATTATTTGTTTGTTTTATGTCTAGTTTCTTGAGTTTTTTATGTATTTTGAAATATCAGCCCTCTCAGATGTGGGGTTGGCAAAGAGCTTTTCCCATTCTATAGGCTGCTGTTTTATCTTATTGACAGTGTCCTTTGCCTTACAGTAGCCTTTCAGATTTACGAGGTCAAGTTTGTTAAATGTCAGTCTCAATGTCTGTGCTACTGGTGTTTTATTCAGGAAGTTATCTCCTGTCCCAATGCATGCAAGACTACTTCCCACTTCATCTTCTATCGGGTTCAGTGTAACTGAATGTATATTAAGGTCTTTGAACCATTTGGACTTCAGTCCTGTGCAGAGTGGTAGATATGGATCTATTTGCAGTCTTCTACACTCTAGCATCCTGTTATGCCAGCACCATTTGTTGAAGATGTCAGAATAGCTAAGAGCAAAAATGCTAATGACAGCCTATGTTGGAGTGGATGTGGGGTTAAGGGGAAACACTCCTCCACTGCTGGTGGGAGTGCAAACTTGTACAGCCATTTTGGAGATTAGTATGGCCATTTCTCAGAAAATTGGGAATCAATGTTCCTCAAGACCCAGTTATACCAGTCTTTAGCATATATTCAAAGGATGCTCAATCATACCACAATGACACTAGCTCAACTATATTCATAGCAGCATTATTCATAATAGTCAGAATCTGGAAACAACCTGAAGAATGGATAAAGAAAATGTGATACTTTTACACAATGGAGTATTACTCAATGGTTGGAAAAAAGAAGAACAATGACATCATGAAATCTTTAGGCAAATGGATGGAACTAGAAAAAAATATCCTGTGTGAGATATTCCATACCCAGAAAGACAAACATGGTATGTACTCACTTACAAGTGGATATTAGCTGTAAAGTAAAGGAATCCAGGCTACAATTCCCAGCCCCAGAGAAGCTAGGTACCAAGCAATAGCCAAATATGGATGCATGGATTTCTCTGGGAAGGAGAAATAGGTGAGATCTCTGGGGTAAACTGGGGGTGGGGATGGGAACAGGAGATATCATGTTGGGCATGTTGGGGTGGGGCAGAGGGGAGAGTAATGAAGGAGATATCTTGATGGGGGCATTTGGAGAGAAACCTAGTACCAGGGAAACTCCCAGGAATCCATGAGGATGATCCCAGCGAGGACTCTTGGCAATCAGTGGTGGAGAGGGTGCCTGAACTGGCCTTCTCCTGTGGTCAGGTTGATTAATACCCAAGTTGTCATCAGAGAGCCTTCAACCATTAACTGAAGGAATTAGATGCACAGATCCACAGCCAAGCAATGGGCTGAACTCTGGGAGCCCTGCTGAAGACAGGGTGGAGGGATAGTATGAGCCAAGGGAGTCAAGATCATGATGGGGGGAAACACAGAGACTGCTGACCTGAGCCAGTGGGAGCTCACAGGCTCTGGTCCAACTGGTCGGTACTGACCTCGGCCCTCTGTATGTAGGTGACAGTTGTGTAGCATGGTCTGCTTGTGAGGCCCCTACCAGTGGGATCAGGACCTGTCCCTGTCACTTGAGTAAGACTTTGGGAATCTATTACCCATGCTAGGATACCTTATCCAGCCTTGGTACAAGGTGAGGAGCTTGGTCCTGCCTCAACTTGATGTGATGCTTTGTTGACTCCCATGGAAGGCCTGCCCCTTTCATAATAGAGGAGGACTAGATGTGGGAGTAGATGAGAGCTGGGGTAGAGAAAGACAGGAGAAGAGGGGGGAGACACTGTGGTTGTTATGTAAAACAAATAAAAAAATTAATAAAACAACAACAAAAATAAGTACGTTGATAGCTAAGAATGTACACAAGGAAACAAAAATCTTAAATGATTAGACTAATGGTTCACCTCAAGCATTAGAAAGTAAACCATGGAACTCCTACAGCTGATAAACACCTTCAGCAAACTAGCAGGATACAAGATAAACTCAAAAAAATCAGTAGCTCTACTATATACAAACAATAAAGGGGCTAAGAAAGAAATCAGAGAAACATCACCCTTTACAATAGCCACAAGCAACATAAAGTATCTTGGGGTAACACTTACTAAACAAGTGAAAGACCTATTTAGCAAGAACATTGTGTCTTCAAAGAAAGAAATTAAAGAAGATACCAGAAAATGGAAAGACCTCCCATGCTCTTGGATAGGTAGGATAAACATAGTAAAAATGGTAAACTTGACAAAAGCAATCTACAGATTCAATGCAATCCCCATTAAAATCCCAGTACAATTCTTCACTGACCTTAAAAGGATAATAATCAACTATATATGGAAAAACAAAAAGACCCAAGATAGCCAAAACAACCCTACACAATAAAGGAACTTCAGGAGGCATCACCATCCCTGACTTTAAGCTCTACTACAGAGCTATAGTTCTGAAAACAGCCTGGTATTGGCATAAAAATAGACAGGTAGACCAATGGAATCAAATTGAAAATCCTGATATTAACCCACACACCTATGAACACCTGATTTTTGAGCAAACAGCTAAAAGTATACAATGGGAGGAAGAAATCATCTTCAACAAATGGTGCTGGCACAACTGGATGATGGTGTGTAGAAAACTGAAGATAGACCCAT